CGTTCAATTTCTTTTTCTCCCATACTTAATTTGTTATAGAATAGTGCTTGTTATCAGTGACAGTGTTTGAAGATATAGGAAATATGGAATTGACACTACATGGTAACCATCATTTTTATGCCAAAAATAATATTCAGAATAAGGAAAAGTCACCATACACCATGACAGATATATATATTATTATATTCCGAGATATATATATATATATATATATATGATAAAAATATAATTTTAGGTATCTCCTTGCAGATGAAAAAAAGACTTGAAACAGCAAAAATGTGATTCTACAGAAGGATGCTTTTGAATCACATTTAAAGGCAAGAGCAAAAGCAGTGCATAACCTAACAAGCTTGTGTAAATTGTTGGCAAAACAGGGATTAAGAGAGATAGCAAGAGAGAAAGTTTACTAAGTGCTACAAAGAGCAGGAATTTGTGCAGAGCCATGATGAAGAGATGCATTACATAGAAAAAGAATAATAATATAGACTCTGTTACTATATTTTTCTCATTCTAAATCTGTCTATATTTCTCAGATGAGGTATTGTAATTATTTACACTATTTATATTGTTTGGACTGTTGTTCCCAATCTTTGTTGCCATGTTCACAATATTTTGGCCATTGTATGCTCCAGCCTTCTTCAGGTGAATGGAATTTTTAACTGAGCCCTTTATTTCACCCACCAAGGTAGATTGTTTTAGTTCTATATGCCATGCCTCTTCCAGATGTCAGTTATCACATTTTAACTCAACTCTCCATGTTTTTGTTCAGCCCTGCAGTAGCTAGGTATTGAACTCACAACCCTTTGAGTCAATTCACAGGATCCAACCAACACTTTTATCCATGGACACATGCCCCATGGATAAAATGAGACACTGGCCCATGTGTTCTTGAGGACACATTCTGTCTTATATATTGTAACAAGACAGTATTATACAGATTATAACTGAAATATACTTTTCAGCTCGAGTCTGTATTTAATGCCATGTCCCTTCAGGACATCGGTGGTCATGACTATCCACATATTCCTTTTCTTTATTATCTTTGAACTGTCATGCATTCTTGAGAATGATAGTAGAGTGGTTTCCTCCACAGTTTCAAATTCAAAGTTTCCTGTCTCTTAGAATAAAGAGCCTGGTTTATTTTGCTATTTAACCCAACCTGTAAGGGAACTAACCAGATTCATGCCTTTCATAAGGGTTCTAGTGCAAAAGTGAATGCAACAGGCTAACCCAGAATTTGAACTCAGCTCACCAATTCCACTTTCCGTGCTGATAGCACATCCTGCTTTGGGAAACAGACTCCCAAGAGGATACTTCCCTGATCACTACAATATTGACCTGTTCAAATCTAAGGTTAGCCACTATCTTCCCTACATATCCCTAAAAACTTTGCCTCTTACTCTACCTCAAATGGCTCTTGGACTTTGTACAGGATGACCATTGTTTTTTTTTAAATTGTTTTTAGCTGTTTATTTATGTTATTTTATTCATTTATTTTAGATTTTCATATATTTTGTATGTTTATTTATTTTTAATTATTTTATTCATTTTTTATTTATTCTATTTCTTATCTATATATTTACTTATTATTTATTTTGCAGATATTCATTTTATTTTTTTTTAATTTATTTTAATTTTCTAAATTTTGTAAAGAATTATTTTATTCTTATTTAATTTTATATTCATTTTATTTTTTATTTATTTATTTTTATTCTGCTGTTTTTTGTACAAATTTCTGAGATGAGGATTTAGCATTATTTACATTATCTTTTGTAAAAAGAAAAAAGAAGTCTTCTTGTCTGTCTAATACAGTCTCATAAAATTGTATGGATCATTAATTTATATATCAGAGAATTGTATTGGTTTTTAGAATGTTGTAAATATAAAATTATTTTTGAAAATAAACTATCTAATAAATAAGAAGGAAAAAATGTATAAATTCACTTTCATCATAGTTTTCAGTTTTATTACAATTCTTATCGTCACTTTTTAAAACAATAAACAAAGCTGAGGAGTGAAGGTAATTAAAATGATAGCAGTATCAAGGGAAAAAACAGTCCTTTTCACACTCGGGTTTTTTTTTTTTTTGTGGTCACGGAGGTCTAAGAATGCTGTAATTCCTTTATTTTTATTTCATTTTATACTTTATTTTGTTTATGTTACTTTTTTTGTATGAATTTCTGGGATGATTATTTAGCATTATTTATATTATCTGTGTAAAAAAAGAAAAAAATCTTCCTTGTCTGTCTAATACTATCTCATAAAATTGTATGGGTCATATTTAATTTATATAGCAGACAATGAGCACAAAGAAAAAACTGAAAACTGTGAAGAAATAAAAGGGAAATGGAGCAGTGAAAAATTAATACCGAGGAAAAGAATAAAGAAAGAAAGATGGTCCCTTTCCTGGGCCAAATACTATAGTCATGACCCATGCTTAAGATCAAGAAAAGTATTGAGAGCAAAAAGAGGAAATGTGGATAAAAGGCTGAAGTGGTAAAAAAGGAAAAAAAATAAAAATAAAACAATGTAAAGGACAAAACAAAGAGTTACCTGCCCTTTTGTCTGTCAATAGCAATTACAGAAAGATGAACATTAATCAAATACTCAATATATACATGCAAAGACTGATTTGTTTTTTACAGCCTTATTTAAAGCTAAAACATATTTGGGATCGAAAGAATAATTATTTTTTTTGCATTAACAATTTTTGGGAGATAACAATGATTTTTCCAGACACAAGTCCTACTATTGAACCCATAGCTAAGTAGAGAAGAAATGGATTCAAATTTTTCCCAAGGGCAACTATTAGCAGTAGATATGTTTGCCTATTGTACAGTTCACACTCCTCCCTGGCCTTTTAAACAGGAGTAGAGTTTTATCCTTTGTTTCCTGTTTAGGATTGGGTTTTTGGTTCCTTCTAAAATCTACGCTTAAACTCTGTAATTTTATTTACTATTTATTTAATTTTTTTTCTTGGTAGGAGTAGATATGTTTGCCTATCATCTGGTGCACACTCCTCCCTGATCTTTTGAACTGGTTTCTTCCTTGTTTCCTGTTTAGGATTAGGTTTCTGGTTCCTTCTAAAGTTTTAACATTCTCTTTCACTTCCAATAGCCCCTTCCCGCTTTGTAGCACTATTGCCTTGTTTGGAGTGAAGTTATTAAAAACAATGTGTGGAAGGTCAAAGGTTAACTGTAAAATGTTCAATAATTTTCGAAAAGTTATTTTAGGGAAAATTGCTATTATTTCTTTGTTATTTTGGTAGATGTATGATAGAAATTAACATATGCAGGTATTATTCCTTGCTTAAGAGCTTTACACAATTTTTCCAGTGATTTATATCCCAATCTCATAAGGGAATGAACCACTACTTTGTGGAATAGACTCCCACATGAATGCTTCCTCAAACACTACAATCTTAACCTCTTCACATCTAGAATCAATCATTATCTACCATATCTTTCACTTTCTACTTCCTCACCCTGTGTTCATATCACATACCCCATTCAGTAACCCTCTATCTTGAATAACTCTTGGGCCTTGTATTGGGTTAACTTTCTAGTGAAAGAGAATGTGAAGATTTTAGTGAGGAGAAAGGAAAATAAAAGAACTGGTTCAGGAAGACAGAATATGGCGAGTTACATTGCGTTGCATTTAAATTTTTGAAGATCATCAGTAAGAGGGAAGCAAGAAACCAGAAACCATTCTACAGGCAAGAATTTCAAGAAAAGAAACTCTTGGAATAGAACTTATAGTTGCACCTAACAAATTCAATAATAAAATGATGTGACCTAGTTGCCAATCTAGTAGTATGCTTCAATTCATATGGTTTAGGTGCCAAGGAGGAGAGCTCATTAGAACAATTACCCTGACAGTATTTAGAGAAAAAGCACAGGGAAGCCACATTATGGTTGTGGAAAAAATGACTAAAGCTGAGATGCCAGGTCCAGACCAATAACATTGCTTCACCCCAAGCAAGGCAATAATGCCACTAAGAAACAATGGGGTTACTGGGAATAGAAGAGAATGTGAAGACTTTAGTAAACAGAAAGGAAAAATTAAAGATAGGATTCAGGAAGACAGAATATGACAGTTGATGTTGTATTTAAATTTAAAATTAAAAAGCACAGGGAAACTACATTATGGTTGTGGAAAAAAATGACTAAAGCTGAGATGCCAGGTCCAGACCAATAACATTGCAGAGTATTCTTTGAATTACCAGATTGAATTTGTTTTGTAAGTACTACTAGTATCTCTCATTTAACTCTAATAATACTGGTGTCTCTTCTAAATTAGTAATACTAGTGTATCTACTTTAAAAGAAAGATATGACATGTTTGAAGGGTGTAAATCGTTCTACATTATACAGCATGCTGTCATTCTACAAACACATCGAGAAACTAGATTTTCTTCATTACAGCAGGAATTTACAAAAAGGCAAGGTCAGGGTTTCTCCTTTAATTGCTGTAAAAGCCATGGGTGCTTCAGGTTAAGAGACTGTAGGTTCTAGTCATTCTTGCATCTTGAATTGCACAGATTTTGCATTGCAGTATAAAATTAATATCCATTTCTTTGGTGACTCCTGAATTTTGAATTTTTATGAGGTTAATGGCAATAGACGCTTCCAAATCATGTTTCTATTTTTGAACTTTTGGTGAGATGAAGGCTCATTGTCATTTAGTAGATGTCTTTATCCTGAGAGAAGATTTGTAAGAGGCAAAAAGAACATTGATTCATTGATTCATTTTCTACAGCTGTGTGGGTTATTTAAAGCCAGAAAATATTTTTAGATTGTAAAAATTTGTTTTTGAGAAAATAATGGTTTAGTGATACAAATCTTATTAATTAACCCATAGCTGGGGGAGAAGAGGTGAAATCATATCTTTCCCAAGGCTATTTGTGCATAAGTGAATATAACAAACTCAACAGGAATTGGAACTCAGCTCTCCAATTAATAATTCCAAGACATAATCCATTGCAACATCTGTGCATCCAAGCTTACAGCACCTGGTATTCCCAAGCAGTCACCCGTCTATGTACTGACCAGACTTGATGTTGCTTAACTTCAGTGGTTATATGGGAACTGGTGCTTCACTGTGATATGGCCATAAATTCTAAAAAAAACATATCTATATTATTTGTTGACTGCAGACAAGACGGATGAGGTTTGCTCTTATAATTAAGAATAATTAAAACCCATTATTTCCTTTAATATTTGAAAACTTGCTTCAAAATTCATTTGTCTTGTTCCTAATATTTGCTAAAGGCAATGGTACCTTGGATGATAATATGTAAGGCGAAAAATGTGCTAAAAACTTATATTCATATGGATTTACCATTACTCTGAAAAAAAATGACAGAAATATTTAAGTTTTCAATATTTTCTAAGTCCAATGCAATTACATAATGATTATAGTTTCAATACTGCTGTGTGCTAATTCTGTCTCCACTATGTCATCAAAAGAATCCTATGCACAGAGATGGGAAATTCAATCTATAATCTATTTTAAAATACTGGATTATTCTGGTTACATATACATATATTTATGTAGGAGGCGGGGAGACATCACATGATCTAAAATTCCACATCAACGTTCATGAGAGATTTGTGTTTAGACAAATGATCTAACTCTCTTGAATTGCAGAGAAACAATGCTAGACATAACTTTGATTTCACTAATACCACCCTAATTAAAAAAGAACTTAATTCTTTAAGGAGAAAATAATTTGAAAGCTTAATAATAGCATTATTACCAACTATAATCACACGTCTAAAACATTACATTGCATCGCCATCCTTCTTTGAATCTATTCTTAAAGAATCTAACTTATATCTAATACAAAGAGTGCATGCATAAAAAAGAACAGTCCCAGATTAATGTGGAATTGACACCCCAGTGCACTGGCTGACTTCACAAAGGTGAAAACATTAGAACTCCTTCAACTAGACAGACACACATGCACAATTACTAATACACATTCCTATCTGATGCCCACTTAGACATACAAGAATCCTTACAAACTTATATACATAATTATCTATGGTATATGACTGACCAATGAGAATTGATCCATACAAAATACCGAAGTTCTGTCTCTTTGTTTTCTCTTAATATCTTACAAACCTTTAATAAAAGTGAAATGTGTTAGATTGATATGTTTCTTACTTGTTCTTTATCTTATCATCCTGTCAGATTCTGATCTATATTTGATCTCTCTCACACACACACACACACACATATATATATATATATAGTACAACTTTTTAGCTGACCTACAATGGGTTTCTTTAATTTTCCCCTGTGAAGGTATGGTTATCCACGGGTTTTTAAATAAAATTATTTTGCTTTATTATTTCCTTTGATGCTTTAGGGTAATTTATGGTTAAAGGTCATATAAAGCTTGTCCCTCCCTTCTTTCATTTGTGTCCAAGTTGTCTGAAGATCACATGTGTGTGAAACTTGAGTTACAAATAGAGCCATCCTTTCATAGGATTTAATGTTGTAAGCTTCTTTTGCTCAGTCTAGGCAATCTAGGCATCGAGCATTTTACTTTACTATGGTTTGACTTTTGGGCTTTTTCTTTTTTCAGTATTATTGTTTTTGTCTGGATAAGAGTTTTAGGTTTTGGCAAGTTGTATGTTGGTTCCATCAACAGTTTTGTTTTTTCTTTAATACATATATAGGCTTAATACAAATATAAAATTTGTCACTTAGCTAATTGTTGTTATATTCAGCACCCTGTATGTAGAGTGGCATGGTTATTTCTCCTTTCATCATTTTTGTGTTTTCTTATACTCTCTCTCTATTCCTTTTCTTTCTTTCTTTCTTTCTTTCAACTCTGAGTGTCAAAGATAATGTAACAATGTCATTTCCTGAGTTACAGACAGGATTTTTCTGAGTTTTTAGAGTAATTCGTTTTCTTGAATATTCTGGTGTTTTCTTAAGTTTGGGAAGCACAGGTTCATTTCGTTTTTTTTATTTATTTTTTGTTTAAATAATGACATTTCTTTAATTAATGCTTAAGTGGCAAAATAAATATTTGTTTATGTCTTCACTTATCCATTATTAAATTTGTTTTATTTAGTAGTTCATTTTTTTTTTTTTTTACCTGCCTTGGTGGTATCTTATGTATTAGGGTATTAATTATGGGAGGTTAGGTTTATAACTGTATTTTTATTTATTGTTGTTTGAAAATATATATATATATATATATAAATAAATACACACACGCGCACACACATATATATATATATACATACATACATACATAATTAGGAGTAGCTGCGTTATATTGAGTCTAGTTAGTTTCCTCTTCCTGACTGAGACTTGCTGGCCCAGTCATATGACACTTGTGTTGTAACGGTTTGGGTTCGATTCTTGGTAGAGGATGTGCACTGATGATAAGTCCCAAGAAAGGATGCAACAGCATATATATATATACACACACACATATAAAGGCTTAAATGGCAAAGTAAAAGTGTGTTTTTTTGGATGTCTGCAATCTGCACTTACCCATTACTTAATTATTCTTATATAGCAGTTTGTTTTTTGTCTGACTTACTTCTACCATATATATTTGCATACCATGCGACCTTTGAAGACCAAATTTTTAAGCTAATTTGACTACAGTAAATGGATATATAGTTTGGTCACCAGCATAGCCAGTGGCAGCAGTATGTACGCTAATTTTATATCACATGTATGATGCAACCCCCTTAAAATTAGCTTCAAAATTAAGTCTTGAAAAGTTGCATGATATGCAAGTATATACTGTATCTTAAAAATATTAGGGTATTAATTGTGGAAGGTTATATTCATAAGTGTATTTCTTTGTTTATATATATATATATATATATATATAGTGTATTCATGCAACAAACCCTCTTTTGTACGTGTTTTGTTAAAGATGACTGACAAGGTACCACAGTTAAGCTTTTTATTTAACTTTTCTTGTGTTCATATAAATGTTTTCTTTTCTGGACACAAAATTTGTAAAAATTGTCCGAAAGTTCTGCATGCATGAGCACTTTCAGCTATACTTTTAGCCATTATCAAGGATGATTTTATTTTACTTTTAACTGAATGTATGGGTTGTGTTATGCATGTATCTAGAGTTCTAGGAATGTTTTATTTTACAAACACGTATTGGCTTTTTCTTTTTTTATTACTAAGTCTTCCATTATTTTTAATCTTTTTTATATGTGGATGAGGTTATTATACTTGTATATTCTACTAGTATGTTTTGGATGAAGTCTGGTAGTTTTTTGTGTGTGTTTAAGTCCTAATAGTCAGTTAGGTGTAACATAAGTCGTCTGGATAGGCATGTAGTAGTATGACCAATGTAATTATTTATGAGTTTCGTTTGATCGGGAATACATAAGTAATTACATCGATCACAATAATGGAAACCCTAATAATATAAATGAGAAAGCCAGCACTCAATAACATTAACTATGAACACAGCCACACTGTGCTGACTGTGTTTGGAAAATAAAACCTTCCTATAACTCTAAAAGTATAGGCAAAAGTACTCAGACATGCAGAACTTCTGGACAGTTCTTTACACACTTAGTTTCCAGAAAAGAAAAGACTTGTATGGAGACAAGAAAAATTAGATAAAAAGCTTAATTGCAAAACCTTGTCAGTCATCTTTAATGAAACACACACACATACATATATGAGAAAGAAGTTTAAAATGCAACTGGAGCATTTGAGAATATTTCTTTACCAGTTTCGCAGTATGATCTTCAAAAGTTGAATTGAGATGCAGAGACATGGCTATACCATGATATCTCTCACATCAGATCTAATAATATATATATATATATATATATATATATATATATATATATATATTTCTTTTTATACTATAAACATTTTTTTAGTGGGTACACATATTTGAGTAGCTACCACTGTTTGTTTTTATTTTCCTAAACAGTGAAATTAATAACAACTGGCCTAGATTGTGAAATCCTACTAAAGAATGCTTGCATCTTTGACAGGAATCAAACATGTCTCCCCTTTTTCATCAGGAGAAGTAAAATAACATTTATAATAATGAGAAATATTGTTGGATAAAAAAAATCTGTTCAATAAATCTCTCTCTCTCTCTCTCTCTCTCTCTATATATATATATATATATATAACTGGGTATTTGGGCAGAAATCTCTCTCTAATAAATATTTTCTTAAAAATGACCATCAAGGTACTACTATTAAGTTTTTTTATTGTATTTTCTTGAGTATGAACAAGAGATTTCTTCCTTGGAATTCATGAATGTAGAAATTGTCCGAATGATTGTTCTTTCTGAACATTTTCGGTGAATCTGTTTTCGAGGAATTTAGTTGTCCTTTTGTAAACCGTGTATAAGTTGCTGAAAGGTAGGCATATTTTCAATTCCTGAATATGGCCAGTATATTGTGGCTGTGTTCATAGTTGATGTTGTCAAGGGTTGTTAAGCCTTTCATTATTTTTAGACACTTTTTGCTGTTGGAGGTGCATATCACATTTTTGTTCTTCATGAATATGTTCTGCATCAAGGTTGATATATTTCCATGCTGGATTAAATGTGACCATATAGAACTCTGGTCTGAAAGATGTGGCATTAGCCGTCTTGATAAGCGAGTGGCAGTATGTCCAATATAATTATTTATGAATTTGCTTTCATCAAGAACACAGATCCCTATGGAGTATTTGAATTCATAAATAATGTTGGTCTTAATAGTTTTGATGTAGCCAGGGAATTGTTGCTGATGAGAAGGTTGGCTGTTTTGAAATTTTTGTAATGAATAAATGATATTTTAGTTTGTTCAACTGAAGCAGTAAATTATATTTTATAATATTCCTTAAAATGAATTTGTCTTGTTAGCAATTTCTGTGCATTTGGTTTCAATAAAATATATTAATAATATTGCTATTATCTCTATGAACTGTGTTATTATTGCTTAGTTTAGATTTGCTGAAAGTGCTCAGAATGGACAATTATTTGAACAATTTCTACACTTACTAATTTGAACAAAAATCTCTTGTTCTCATATATAAAAATAGGATAAAAGACTGATCAGTACATAGATGAGCATCCTCTACAGAATACCAAATTCTGTAAGCT